CAGACAAAATCTCTATATATTTGTGATCCCTTTTGTCCACCTGAAGGGGAAGGTTGACATATTTATGCATTTTAAAACATGAAGCTTTTCATATATTTCAGCTGTGCCTCGCCTGGTGCTCTCCATATGTGCTCTATTTCAATTCCAAGATTTTTCAGAATTTTGCAGGCTGAAAGCCAAAATACAAGGTGACTGTCTGGGGAAGAGTGCATAGATTAGTTAAGGCATTATTCTGAATTCAATATAGGAAAGGGACAAACCTCATTATGCATCATATTGAATCAACAGGGGGCTGGGTCAGAAGGGGGTCATGTCAGGGGTGGGCTTCAAAAATTTTAACAAGAGGTTCTCTGCCCTTGTTGATGGGTGGGTGTGGCCATGGTGTACGTGGTCTAGTCGGCCTCCTACACCACGGTCCAGGGGGGTGTTTTTTTCCCTCCCCAGGCTCCAGAGGCTTGCCTCAAGCCTCTGGGAGGGCGAAAATGGCTTCCCCAGCTCTGTAGGGCCTCTGGAGCTGGAAACAGCCCCAAACTTCCAGTAGGCCCATTTTTTGTCTCCCTTGAGCCTCCGCGTATGCCCTGTACTTACCTGCATCTAAAATGAGCCACGTGGGGACTCCTGCAAAGGGTGGGGTGGACGGGGCAAACCAGGAGTGGGATTTAGGGGTTCTTCCAAACTGCACAGAATCTTAGCTAGAGGTTCTCCTGAACCCCTGAAAACCCCCAGCAGCCCACCCCTGGGTCATGTACAAGAAAGTGACAGGACATTGACTGAATAGTCAGAATGTTCATCTTCAGTTTTTTAAAAACCTGCTGACAGGGAGTTTACTCCCACATTCACTTGAGCATAAATAAAAATCTTACCTAACTCGAACATTACTACTTAGACATCCCTACTCAACATCTGAGGAGGACTGCTTTATCAGCTCTGTTAGGCTGAATCTCAGTTTACTTTTTGTATGTTGGTTTGCTCCCAGCTTGGTTACCTTCTCCTGAAGACGTTCAACAAGAGCAGCTAAGTTAGCTTCACGGTTTTCTTTGATTTGTTCCATTTTCAGTATCAGTTTTTCCTCTGCCATTTTGCTGAAGTTATTGTTCTCCTCCAAAGCCTTCTGAAGGACTTCTCGTTCATGTTCTCTCTTTTCTGCCAGTTGTTTCAGCACCTGGGCCTCCTGGGACTGTGTAAAGTTGAGAAATAAAAAAATGAGCCAGTCAATTATAAAAATATGGAAAGAGAATAGATTCAGTATATGTCTAATGTTCAGAGACAAAGGGTGACTAATTTGCCGAAGTAAAAAAATTGGCAAGTACAAATTCTCATTCCTGTGTCTTCTTTGGACCATAAGGATGGGGAGGGGAAAATTAAACAGTTTTTCCCTTTAAATTTGGGACCGCTCAAAAAGATATGGACTGAATATAAAACTGATACAATCTCTTGTGGGTAAATTTGCAGAATACAGAATAACAAAGTTGGTAGGGATCATGGAAGTTTTCTAGTCCAACCCCCTGCTCGAGCATGAGATCCTATACCATTCTGGACAAATGGCTGTCCAATCTCTTCTTAAAAACCTCCAGTGATCCACAACTTCTGAAGGCAAACTGTTCCACTAATAAATTTTTCTCTTAGGAAATGTCTCCTTAATTCTATATTGGATCTCTCTTTGGTAATTTTCCATCTCTTCTTGTCCTACCTTCAGGTGCTTTGGGGACATAGGGCAACCCTTTTCTTCTTTATGCCAAATATTAGAAGACTGCTATAATTTCATTGAGTTTGAGTTAGAGACATCAGCAAATCAGCCAAAAATTAATACTTTTCATAGAACTTTCTTAAATAGAAAGTTTATCTTAAATAGAATTTCCCTACCACAAAAATGTGTGGGTAACAACCAGTAGCATTTCTCAAGAGTAGCAAAATTCGGTGACATCCTCGCCACCTCAACAGTGAAAATAAACATGAGCAATAGCCATTGGCACAGGGACAAATTAGAAGGAAGTTGGAAGGATAATGCATTTTAGGAGTCCTTGGTGTTCTCTGAGCTTGGTTGTTTTCTTGCATTTCATTACCCAAACTATATAACACCATCAGTACTAGTAGGGAGTGGGGTTTGCTTTCATTTTATATTCTAGTGGCATGCCCTATCAAT